TATGGACTATTGTAGCTTTACTGCTTTACTCTTGCTCTATGTCGGTCTACCTTCTGCAGTTCGCTGGCTGGCTTGTCGTCCGCTTGTGCCACGAACACCCGAACACGAGACCGTGATTTCAACAACCACATGACTACAAGCTTCGACCCATCCGAGGAGAATGCCATCCAGAGTTCACTCATCGACTCCGTCGTTGGGATGGGAGGGGTCGGAGATGTGTACCTCGGGCACCTCTCCAGTGATTCTACTGCAAATGCCGAGCTGGACGCAAAGGGCACCATTTTTGCACCCATCTAAGCTATCAAAGGCTAAGGGCCGCTCCAGTGCTCAAGACAGCACTGGCTCGACCGAACTGGCAGGAGCTTGCACCCGTGCCCCAGTGGTAGCCACATCTCAGAATCATAGTCTTGGTCGAAATCATCTCAGACATAGCTTCGCTGTACTAGGCACCATTGATGTCAGGTGCCAGCAGCTCGGGTGAGGCACTCTCCTGCAACAAACACCTCGAACCGATTTGAATAGAAATCAGCTCGGAGCTGCCCAGCAGGTGGATTAAAACATGAAGACTGGTGCGAGACTATGTCGTCAAGGTCGTCTCCTGAGACTCTCGATGCCAGAGTCTATCGCCGACATGCGTCGCTCATGATGCAGAATAGTCAGCACAGCCTACTGTATCGATGGGAAGCTCTAGCTGGCTGATAAGCTCGATCCCCTGGCATAGTCTCGAGGCAAGCTATGCTCGGTGGGACGAGACGTCTCCTCCGGCCTCAGCAAACCAGCCGCGGCGTGCTTAACGGAACCAAGGCAGCGCATGAAGTCAGAAGAAGGAGGCCACACTCCGGGCAGGACAATAAAACCCTGCATGGCTGCTAAGAGCCGGATCCCGCCCTGGTATACACGCTGGAGCACGGTCCAGTCTACATGCCCGCGGCATCGTATGGCTAATTGACGGGTACTGTCTGAACTTACGTACATGTCATTCTATATGATACCAAGTCAAACTTCATTCTGATGCAAGCCCTTGTAAAGGCCAAGTCCTACCACATCCCTGCCGCGAACCAAATGCCTGCAGAGAACCAAGGCCCAAACTCTTCGATGCATTGCTACCGGCGCGGAGAAGAGCCCCCCGCCTGTCTCGAGATTGTTGAATTGGGCATAGACGTCGATGTACATGTGTGCGAATGTACAAATAAAATTACAAACATGAGCAGAACTATCCACGCATATGTGCAAGCAAACAACCTGGTCATCGCTTCATCTGCAAACCTATCGAAGTCTGCCTGTGTTCGTGCCTGCTTTCTGAAAGATAAATATGCTAGTTGCCTGAACTTGACCGGTGCTTTACACGAAGATGACTACAGCATGCAGGGTATACATGAATGTCTAGGTAGAGGTAGAAATCATTGTAAGAAGGCCTAAGAGAGGGGGAGTCACATGATCCGCAGGTGTTGGAGCCTCGCGAATGCAGATTTTATCCTAGTCTCCAGTGGCGCCGACGCTTACATGCTCCCGTCCATGAACCTTTTCCTGCATGTTGTTGCGCTCATGTCCAGAAACCAGACAACTGCCACCCAGCCACTGGTTGATGAATGCTGTAGTACCAAAGCAATCCTGCCTTCAATGTTCTACGTAGGCCTCAACCGAAACCACCTGAAGCCGTCAAGTTCACTCGGACCTGTCGAACCGCTCGATCGGCTGCAAACCGTTCCGCCGGCACCTGAAGACAAGTCGTATTTCTTAGGGCCTAGTAGGGCTGAGGCAGTTTATGGCTTTGGGTATGGTGAGGCTTCAGAGCTTCGCAACATAAAAGGGGTGCTTCACATGAGCATCAATCTTCGCTTATCAGCTGTTGAGACGTGACTACTCCATCGTCGCATCCTGCCCCGCAACACCCAAAGGGGACCCCAAGTTGGCCCAGACTCGCTGCCTGTGATCTGGGCGACACAGCAGCCTGCGCCTGTGCCTCAGTCAGTCGGTCAGTCGGTCAGTCGGTCATACGCCGGCGGGCGTTTGGACAGGTAAACTGGAACACGTCGGTAGTTGTTCGGATCGGCTGGGTCTCCTTTCTTGCAAAACATTGCAACTGAAGCTGTGGACCATTCATCGGGAACGACGGCAGCTCACCAGCAATGGTTGCAAAGATCCAACAGCCATTGTAAGGATGTGTTGGGTTCCATGGCCAAAACCTTGAAAACCTCCACGGGAATATCATCTGGTTTTGTTGCCTTACCGCTGGGCGTTTTTGAAATAGCTTTCATGAGCGCGGTTTGGTTGAAATCCGACCTGCCGACGTGGAAAACTTCACCCAAATTCGGCCGCTGTTCAGGAATCAATGTCGTTGGTGGAGTTCTCCATTGAATTGAACCTTTTCCAGGTGCTCAGCCAGCGTCTCTGCTCGCAGCTGAGATGAGACAAACTCCCCATCCGTGTTTTTCAATCGCCCTGCTTGGTGATCCGACCCCTGCGGAGCTTTTTAATCGATTTCCAATCCCCGGAAGACGCCAAAGTCTCAAAGGTCGTGAAACTTGAGATCTCATGATCCTGACAGTGCTCTTGCTCTGGTAAACGCTCAGAAATCTATGCCATACTGCTGCATCTTGTTAAGCGATGAACATCGCGCATTCACACTTCAAGCGGTTCAAGCAGTAGCCTCGTGAACAGTAAGAATCCCTCTCTGTCTTCAGTTATGCCCGCTGTGCGGCCTCAGGTGATGCTGGGGCGGTTCTGGCCTCCCATCGCAAACATGGCAACAGCTGCACGCATGAAAGTCTTCCCCGACCCCTCATGTCTGCGATTTTGATGCCAGGCACAAGCGGATCCCAGGCCTTCTCATGGGCCTTTGACTTGCCCTTCGGCTTGGGTGCCGGCCTTGCTCCGATGGTCTCTGATCTTCGGGACTACTGTTATCAGGAGAAGTCTGAGGTTCTAGAACATCATGGACGTGAATAAGCATTCAACACAGTACAGCCCCAACAAGAGCATTGCAAGAACATCTGCCTGAAGCCATAACTCACCAGGGTGATAGAAGGTAAGCAAAAATGAAACTAAAGCTCCCAGCTCGAGACGTCAGACATTCACATCCCCCTCTGAAGGTGCTTCGGACTGGGGGTCGGGACCTCTTCTCTGGTGCCGCACCTGCGAAAGAGGCCATCCTCTCCAACATCTTACTCAACCTTTAGGGTTTAGGGGCTTTTTTTGACAGCTCTTTTCCGTCAGCCTGGCGGTAGGTCTCGGGAATGCCACTCTGGCCGAGGCGGGTTTCGGGAGGCTTACACAACAGAGGGATTCACCATCAACACCACAGCTCACTACCCCATACTAGCGAAGTCCCAAGCCTCCCGAGCAAACCACACAGACGCGGGTCATACCATCTGCAATGCACTCATGCTCCCTACAATGCAATACCATGCAGTACGTAGTTACCCGGAGCGCACCGGCACTAACAGACCAGCGAAGAAAGATGGCATCAGCAGGGCTGCCTTGGGGCGCTGGTTGCATACTGAACATGCACGCAGACAGGTAAGAATATCTAAAACAGGCATAAATTTGGCAATGCCCCGTGCTGTGCAGCTACTCTGCTAAGTCAATTCGGAGTCAATTCGCACTTGGCCCAACATGGTCAAAACTGCAATCATGTCCACTCCACTAGAGGCAAGAACAAACACGACAAACCTGACTCAACGCAAACACACACTAACCTAGCTCATCACTGTTCGACTGCAGACCAGTCAGCGCCTGTGCCTCACTATTCCGGCATCGTTCCATCTACGGCTTCTTGGCCTCTCGAGCGCGCGGGCGCCCATAGCCGTTTCTTTTGCTGAGCTCTCCAGGCAAGTTGGCTTTGAGCTCGCCGACATGCTTGCAGTCCAGAGGAAGAGGAAGCAAACCATCTCATCAATACTAACCCTAAACGCTAAACCCCATATTTCACATGAAGGGTAGAGGAGCCTCTTTGATTACATCCTGAAGCAAGAAATCGCATCCTCAACTCGACCTGCATTCGGCGAAGAAACCCAGGATATCAAAACTCAGCGTGTGCTAGGTGGGGCTACCGTGGTGTCCAGCCACGGCCAGGAAGCACCTTCACGGAATCTAGGCAGTGTAGGCGGGCCCCTCAGACGAGCGTTGCAATTTAGTGTTTCTTTGATAGCACCCTAAACTCTGAACGTAGCCGTCCTGTGAAAGCCTTGAAGTAACTCACCTACCAGCCTGCCCGACACGGTCTTGCTGCAGGAAGGCGGAGAAAAGGGAAATTGCGTATTCTCCACTCTACTCTGCATCTAAGACAACAAGGAATGGACTTTGCCACCAATTAGTGCGGTGGAGGCGTCACATGGGCTGCTTTGGGCGACGTGTTAGGGCGAAAACGGCTGTGTATCTCTTCGGCAATCCATGACTCAAAATAGCCGCTGTGAACACCTCCACGAAAAAGTCAAACGACATCAACGTGGCTGGCGATTACCTGCTACGGAGTCTGGCTTGCTGCAACGCAGCAAGCTCGGAAGAAGTACATGGAACCGACACAGAACCAGCTGGCTTGCACAAATGCAGACTGTCAGGATGTAGTATCCCAAATTGACTACGAAATTTCCCTAAATCCGACGAACCCCAAATCCAAGTCCGCCCTAAAAATTCGAAATCTCGGTCCCGCAAGTCAGCAGATTCTGGGATATCTCCATGTGGGATTGGGAGCCAGGAAAACACACCTCAATGTAGTGTTGATGAGATCGCAATATAATATCACGGCTGGAAAGGCCGATTTGCTAAATCCTTGTTCTTCCTGGCCTCATACGAACATACCGTCTTGCCACTGACCATAAATCCAAACCGCCGTCGTGGCATTTGCGCGGTTTAGCATCGCAACGGATTGCTAGTACCCACAGGCACCGACACCTCTCAAATAAAGTTGGTGTTTGAGATTGTAAAACTAAAGGTGTTGTTGGACCTGTGGGTAGGACTCAGGACAGCGCATCTCCATCCCTCTCGCAATCTTCTCCTTCTTAGGTGCCGGGAACCCCGGGGTAGTTGTCCAGAGAACCGCAAGTGCTCTGCACACTAGCAATAGATGTTCCGATATAGGTGGTGGCCGTCACCAAATCGATAATCGCGGCTGCGCAAAGGCGCTCGCCCATGGCCCTTGTAAAGTCTACTGCCCCAGGGCAGTTGATGACGCTGAGGGTGATCATGCTGGAGGCGATACCTGCCGAAGCGATGGCGCCCGTGACGTCGATGGCGCACTTGGTCTTTCCTTGATGGCCATTGACATCGAAGTTATAGGCGCCGCAGTCCTTGGTGGACATGGCAATCAGCGTGCCCATCTGCGCCAGACGTGCGACAGCTTTGCTCAAATCAAATCCGCACTGCACGTGCTTCCACGTTTTCTCAGTTTCTTTCTTCTTGTGGGCAATGATCTCGTCTGAGGTCAAGCCCATCCTGTCTGCTGCGTGCTTCATTTTTTCATCGATGAACTCCTTGTCGTCGGGGTCGCTGGCATCCGCGACCTTTTCCAACGCGTCCGCGGCCCCAGTCTGCATGGCTTCCATGTCGGATACAGCTTTGGCCTGTTGCGATGCGACTGGGTCGGCAGGGAGCGTCGCCATTCCGGCCGTCTCCTCATCCAGGCGTCGGAAGCCACGGCCAGCGGAAGATTGAGACCTGAACCTGTCGTTTTGCCGGATCCTCTCGTCTCGCGTCTCTCTGATCTCCTTGTTGATCGCCCGAAGTTGGTCCGCAGAAAAACTTGTGGGTCCGAAGAGTCTCGCGCCGTTCGTCGCCGTGTTAGGCCCGATTTGGCCGGGGAAAGTTCGCCCTTCAATCTTTGCAATTCTTTCGTCCCAGTATCCATGTTTGGGAAGGCAGCTGGACCTCATGTTGGCACCGGCTGCACCGACCAGAGCAGCATTAGCCATGAAGCCGGTCATGTCGATGGAGCAGCCGGCTTGGACATTGAACGTTGGACCGCAGGAGCTGACCATATCTTCGATGTAGATGGCGATGTAGCCCCAAATCGCCAGGTTCAGTTGGACCATGGCTGCGCAGAAATCCTGCTGGGCGGCATCCATGGGGTACGGACTCTTGCAAGCAACCGTCACAGTGCGGATATTCGTGACGATCTGCCCGATACTTGACAGGATCTGAAACGCATCAATGCCGCAAAGGGCCCAAAGCATCTGCCGCATGACGTCCAGCTTCCCGACGTCATCAGGCGGCACCTGCTCAACGTTCTGCTGGAGTTTCCTCGCGTGAGCATACGTCGCATTCTTGAAGAGCTTCATGTTGTAGTCGAACTTGATATTCTCTGGATCCGAGTGGTCGATGTCGAGGTATTTCACCTGGTCCCAGACCTCGCGATCTGCACCATCCGGAGAAATGTCCTTGATGGCGTTCAGCAGCTCACCGAGGTGACGCTTCGTGGGCATGTCGACCATGCCCGGGTGCTCCATCCACTTATAGTCGGCATCATCGTGAGGCATCGGGGGCAGCGGCCCGATAAACGGCTGTTCCGCACGCGCCGGCGCGGGGGCATCTTTTCCCAGAACCATGGCAACAGCCAAGGCACCACAAGCAAAGGCCAAAGTCAAGGCTCCAGATGCCACCAAAACACGACGAGATGTAGAGGGAGCATCAGGCTCCTTTGTGCCGTCATCCTCGACCTCTGCGCCGTTGAGCAGCATGCTGGCAGACTCTGGATCCTTAGAAGCCATCTTCGCCAGAGCGTGCAAAGGGATTGTGCGAGTGGTGCGAACGGGCAAAACGGCTTGAGCCAGTTTAGGGTTTAGGGTCTGGGGCTGGCCGTCAGCCTCACAGTCTGCACTCACTAACCCTGGGCCTTGCGGAGCCTTTGCAGCCTCCGTTGTCGGCGACCTGCCAAGAGCGCGGAAAGCACGGCAACCGCAAGAGTCAAGTTGCCCCACCATATGCGTTGTGGCAGCATGGCACGTCATGGCGCAGGTTGCAGAAGCCGTGCCTTTGCCATGAACCCCGAAACAAATTGGGGGCATTTCATGATTTCAGTCCGTCAAAGTGACATGATACCTTAACAAGCACAGCTTCTATTGTTGTGGTACAACGAAACGGCAACTCAAAACCCGCGAAGAGGGGGCTGACTTTTGCGAACCCGGCGGGCCTCTATTGTTCCGTCTATGCCATAGAGTCTATGCTGCGTCCGAGTCCTGCGCTGGTCTTTAGAGGTGCCTGTGGATCCCAGGTTGCAATCCACAACTCAAACGAATCCCGATGGACTTCAGGAGCTCTTGGCTTCTGGATTCGTATCCCTAACAGCGGAGGATGCAGGCATCGCCGAACATCCCAGAAGCCTTGAAGCTCAGTTCCCCACCTGGACCGCACCCTCCGCTGCGGAGTCTCCTGTTGCACACTCTTCGTTGAGCTTCTGTGCGATGATCCGTCGCCATGTAACTCTCTTGCCTTACACCTTTCTTCCTGCACTCCACTCTTCCGCACTTCCGCTGCTGCGCTTGATCTTCCATTGTCACATGCGAAGGCTTCGGATTGAAGGGTATTGCTGCAGGATTGGGTCAGATATCGCAATCCAGCAATCCAGGCTGGAAAATTCCGAAAGCTGAAGTGAACTGCACGGCCCCAAACTCATCTAAGACACCTATGAAGGTGTACAAAGTATGGATCAGGTGGAACATGGCCGAGCACTTCTGGTGCGTGCCTGCTGTACCTCGTCCTCGTGTGGCACATCCTGTGGCAAGGAAACAGTCGGGAAGAGAGCCTCAATAAAAAAAAAAACAATACTTTCGGGCCAGGGCTGCAGCCGCTGCAAACACCAGAAGATGCAAGTGCTGTCTTCCTTAGGTATGCTGCACTTTTCTCAAAACTTCAAAGTGAAGAAGGGGAAGGAACGACACTGGTCAGGAGTGGTTGACAGCCACGTATTGAGCAAGGCTTTGGGCTAAGGCGGTGTCCAGCAACCTGGAATTCTCGTGACCGGGCACGGGGCGCCTCGTCCAGCTCCGACTTTCTGAGGTGATGCTTCTTGGCCTTCTCTTTCGTGGGCTTTAGGGCCAGCAGTGGCACTGCAAGTGTGCCAGCGCGACGAATTGCTACGAGCGTGCAACTCAGCGCTGGCAATGCGACAAATTGTGATAGACCGGAAATATACTGCTGGCTTCAGAACGGGAAACAAGACCGAGTCCAGGAAAATGGACAGCCTCCACTTCAATCCGTCAAACCCTCTGTCCTCAGTCCGGCTCTTCAAACAAAGACCTCAAAACACGCCCCTTTCGAAATCGAAGTGTCACCTCGACCACATAGAAGCGATCGTCCCAGGCCGGGCGCTCGTCTGCCTTTTGATGGGGAAAGCAGTGACATTCAGCTTCTAGGCGAAAGGAATTTTTGAGCGTCTTGGCCGGGCTGCAGCACGACTGCGGCTGAGGTCGTAGGAGTGATGATTGCATTTAGTACAGGGCAGCCGCAGTATTTCGGTTTGACAGACTGATTCGCTGCTGAACCCTCAATGCACCTTCTTTCGCGGCGTCATTTTCGATGCCGTGGCTGGCTGGCATTGTTGAGTCCTCAACTTCGGTGCACAGTGCAGCTCTACCAAGCCATTCTCGCAATGTGTCTCTTTCGCGCTTGCCCTCGGCCCCTGTCCCTCGGCCACCTATTCTGCAGAAAGGTAACGAAGATACTGCTCCTGCGCGGAGGTGATCCAGCTCGAGGTGGACTGTCTTCACCTGCAGGTAGGCTCTTGAGGGCAGGCTGGATTCCGATGAATTACTCTACATTTGGCAGGGTTCTGTCGAAACCTTCAGTTTTCTTGTTGTGCACCTCGATGCGACTACTCCATGTTGTCAGAACCGCATCAGCTCGGACGTCAGTATGACTTCTACTCAGCTCTCTCTACCTGCGCATGCCCCTGCGTTGGAATCACGGGACAGCGAGCGAACACCTGCTATAGTTGGTCTAAACCGGATTATAGGTCCACCTCTGCCTGGACGGTGCGCCGGCGAGCTTTTGACGACCTTCTTTTTGGGGCCTGCACGGACCAAGATGGATAAGCTTTTGGGACGACGGCACGCACGGTGCAAGAGCACATTCAGCAGTTCGTCGCTGACAGCACCCCTATCAGTCCATACTCCAATCGAATTGACTAACCGCCCACCCCAAAAAAAACTCACAAACCCACGCGTGTGTGATGCGATGTCAAGGAGATGAGTTGTCGCCAACACTGTGGCAAGCTGCAAGTCGTAAACTTGAAAGAGGCCCCTCGGCCCAAACTCAGCCCAAGAACCCGCCTTCGTCCTGTTTCGGCAGCTCCTTGTGAGAGTGCCGTGGAGAGCCTGAGGCCGACCTGCGGAACAGCAGCACTGTAGATCGGATCTTCATGGTGGATTTCTGCCTTGCCGCTATCCATGCTACCATCTCTGCGTCTCTACTGCATCGCATACCACTGTCGGCTAGTTGTTTCTCCAGGCGGTAGTCGCTGCCGGGTGGGTATCCTACCTTGCGCTGCGAGATGGGCTACATTGCTCCTAGTCCTATGTAGGATTTAGGATTTATGCTGTAGCCAGCATATCCGCTTGCATCTAGTATGGGGTTTCCACTCAACCATTGACCGTATTTTCACTGCAGCTGCGCAGGGTGTTGAAGGCCATGCTGCAAAGAGATAGCTTTATGGAACCAGATATCTATTGCTTTTTAGAGTGCGCGCCTAGGTTTGCTGCCAATCCGGAGCGGTACTTCATGAGACACCAGGAGCTGTGGCGACCTCAGAATCTTGTATCTGCCAGGAGTAAGGGCTAGACTCACCTGCACCTCTGCAGCTGGGTGCAGGACGACTGCGTGAGCAATCCGGAATGCCTGCATGATGTTCCGGTTTCGGACATGGCATGCCGGAACTCTGCACAACACGTCTCTTAGCGACATGTTACGATTCAATCAGCTGTACTAGAAGCTCTGCTTTTCGTATTGGACAAGGTGTAAATGCACGACTTGAACCTCCATGCCCCTTCAGGTGAACGGTGCAAGTTGTGAGGGTCTTTCTGTGGCTGGCTTCGCTGGGACAGGGCCTCTTCATGCAACGGCAATCACCATCAAGATCAATAGCAGTATTGTGTTCTGATTGTCGGTGTCAGTCATTTTCACCACCACATGAGCATCACCATCATCAGCATGATCATTGTCTGGGAGTTTATGCAGAAGAGGTGCCAGCTGCAGGAGAACGAGCACGTCTCAAGCAGCAACTTGAGACCCGGGGAAGGGGGTGGGGTGAGCGACGACAGCTCTAGCTGCACGCGATCGTCTTGTTGAAGGTGCGGGGCAAAACGTGGGGCTGTTTTACAGATGCGCAGCTTGAGCAGGTATGCAAACAGCTCTGCTTCAACGCCGGTTTGCTGGACCCGAAAAAAGGAGGCGGCAGGCCACGCCCCCCGTGCCACAGGGGATAGCTGCCAAAACCAGACCCGAACGACGCCACTTTTAGGGGGTCCCCCCACCCCCACACCCCGTACGCCTTCGGTATTGGAAAGAAAAGCTCTCTCGGGGGAGCTTTTGTGACAACAGCAATCGTAGTGTCGTAGTGATGGAAGTGCTGCTGCCGGTGGTGGTTTTGGTGGTGGTGGTGGTGGTGGTGGTGGTGGGGGTGGTGGGGGTGGGGGTGGTGGCGGTGGTGGTGGTGGTGGTGGTGGTGGCGGTGGTCGTAGTAGTAGTCGCAGTCGCGGTCGTGGTAGTGGTCGTGCTAGTGGTAGTGGATCATGTTGCTGTAGTAGGACGATGAGGAGCACGACGGGGAAGAGAAATAGGACGAGGACTGAGACTATAGGACCAGCAGTAGCAATAGGAAAAGTCGTAGGAACAGACATAGGAGTGGAGTGCAAGGAGGAAGAGGAGCAGGACTAGGACTGTCATAGTCGCAGCCATAGCCATAGTCATAGTTTTCTTGTTTTTGGTGTTGATGATGTTCGTCTTATTGTTGCTGCTGCGGCAGTAGCTATAGCTGTAGCGACCGCCACATCAGCACGTAGAACCACGTAGCGAGAGAAGTTCTAGTGATACTGCCCATGAGGCAATGCTATTATGAGACAGTGACCACTGTTTCTGCGGCGATCATCCTGACATCATGGTTTCGAGCCTTACGATGATTGCGATCATTGCCGGCGCTCAAATGGCAAGCAATCCTCTTGTAGGGAATATTGCGACCTTTGCGAACACAACTACGAGAAACAATCTTGCTGCCAATCCCACTATCGTCACAAGAGTCGCAAGTGCTATTGACCACTATTCTCAATACTGCGATATACATTGTACCTTTTCCGCCAAGTGTCATGACCATTTGTACTATCATTAGCTGCGGATCAAGATACCAGCAGTATCAATATTGTCAATGCAACACACCCTCTTGAGGCGCACTCATCCTGTGCATGGGCGCGCCCTCCATCACTTGGTTTGCGCTCCTGCTCGAGGAATGTGACGGTGAAGATGGCAAGGAATCGCCGAGGACCCGCTGGACAGCCATGGCTAACTGGGCATCGTCGGTGTCCTCGCAACCGAGCGCTTGAGATGATAACCAAACACC